TGCATGACCATGCCTTATGGGATGCTTTCTCTGTCTCCCTGTCTCTGTCTCTCTCTGGTGGGCACATGTACCCTCTGGCAAAAATTTTAAAAAGGTATTGTAGATTTGATTACTATCCAGGTATGGTAATGCCAATAGATCAGGAGACCGCAGCCATAGGAAAGATATTAAGAGCTTGTTACTCACAGGTCCTTGAGGAGGGGACACACCCTGCCCTGCAGGGTCATGCACATGCATGGAAGCACAAGGGCTCCTCAGATGGCAGAGGGAGCAAGGGGAAATGGGAGCAAGAGCCTTTATGGTGGTTTCCACGGGAAGGCATGGGTGAAGCAGGTAGGCAGTTAAGCAGGGTTAGGATTGGCCCATTTCATCTTTTTGGTGGGTTCTGGGGTATAAGGGGCTGTCCTGAGTTGGCTGGTACCTGGCCCAGGGGAGATTAAGGGAGAGGCTCATGACCCAGAGTGGAAGGTCTAGGTAAAAGAGGAACTAGGGGGTGCAGGCCCTCAGACTGATTTGTTTGCATTCACAAAACATATTCCAAGGGGAGTTCTTTCTTTAGGAATCAGCCAGCCTGAAAGTAGCCTTTTCTCTGGGTTCAGCAAGGCCCCCATAGGTTGAAGCGTTGAAAACATATGGTGCACTTATGCAGTTGTGTGCACTCTAGCCTGCTGGGCTGCATAAGACGGGGAGCAGACAACTGCTCAGGCCATTCTGAGGAGAAGGGGCTTCCTGCTTTGATTGGCTTGGCTCCATTTGGTGTGTGAAGGGCATGCCAAGGGCAGAGGTAATCAGAAAAGTCTTCATGTGGGATGGGGGCATTTGCTGAGCCACAGAAACCAAGTCCAGGCCCAGCCACTGTGGTATAGCGGTAACACCCTGCCCTGAAAAACTGGACGCCAGGGGACCAGCAGTTAGTGTAATGGCTATGTCGCTGGACTCCCACGTGGTTGGCCGCGGTTCGAGTCCTGGACCCGGTGGCTTAAACTCACGCCGGGCGCGTGTGCGTGCGTGCCCAAGATCCCGAGAGGAGAATGGAGGAGAAGGGATTGTGGCGTGGCCATCCCCCCGGGGGGGGGGGTGATTTCCTGCTTTCTGTCTGTCTGGCGAGCACACATGCCCTATAGCAAAAAAAAAAAAACCTCTCCAAAACAAAACGAAACAAAAAACTGGATGCCCGATGAATGACTGTGGATTCAGACACCCGTGTCAACCTGAAAATACTCCCGGAGTATGTCCAGGTGTGAGCTGGAGGGCTGGGAACGGGGATTGCGGTGCGATGAGATCTGGCCAAGGGCGCTCCTCTCTCTCCTTCTCTCACTCTCGTATGTGGGCTTGCACTCACTCTCTATCAGAGCTGAGTCCATTTAAACACTGGCAGTTAGGGGAGAGGTCCCCTATAACCAGAGAGCCCTTCTTGGATCAGAGACCCAGGATGGGAAGGACGTCCGAAGGGGCTGGGCGGGAACACGGTTGCAATGTTCACCTAAGACCAAAGGGAGTGTTTGAATGCCAAGCTCAGGCATTTGGATTTTATTCCGCGAGAGCTGACCAGAGCTCCCGAGGAGTTGTAATAAAATTGTAGACTCACGTGGAATGCCTGCATGTGGTTGTATATCATAGAGAAAATAATTAACAAGGTAGGATGCTGATGTAAACTTATACTGGACAGAACAAAACAAAACAGAACACAAATACGAAGCCCACAGTGTCAAGGGTTGGAAACTCAGTGCTTTCCAGGCCATGTCAGTGGGTGGGAAGGGCTCTGGGGTGGGGATGGGATGGGGTAGCTGCTGGGTCGGCTATGCCCTGAATGAAGGTGCCACCAGCCTCTGAGATCCAGTAGGTCACATGACAGGAACGGGATCCAGAGTTGCCCCATTTTCTTGATTTTCAAGAAAATCTGGAAATTCAGATCCTTGTGAAATCTCCTGATTTTTGTGAAATCCCCCAATGTTCAGGAGTGGATTAGCTAAATTTTCTATCAACACACACAGAGATCCTTGGTAGCCCGCTTCCTCTCTGCGCCCATCACTTCAACTGAATTGTGAGGTCAAAGAAGAAATGAGACATGGTACACCTACATTGGGAAACTGAGGCACGACAGGACAGAGGTCACATCTGATAGCCAAAGACCTTCCCTGAGGTTCCGAGTGGACCCCTCTGCCATGCTTCTGCATTTCCTCATTTGTGAAAATCATTCATTATTTCACCTATTCAGGAAATACAGAGTATCCGCTGAGTCTTGGGCCAAGACAAAGACCTCACACACGAAACCAGAAAATGGGGTAGAACACTGTTTAAAATTGTGCTGTTGTAATTATTTTTCCGCAAAACGAAACCCAAAAGGTACGGTAATCAATCATTTATTTTACTGGAGCAGCCCACAGTGTGGTGGTTACGGCAGCTGGACCGCACATGTCTGACCATGTGGCTTGAGTCCTGGACCTGGCAGCTTGAAAAACATGCCAGGTGTGTGTGCGTGCATGCCAGAAATCCTGAAAGAAAGGGAGAAATGGAGGAGAAAGGATTGCAGCGTGATCGTTGCCCATGCACTCTCTCTCTCTCTCTCTCTTTGGTGAGTACATGCAACCTCTGACAAAACTAAAAAAAAAATAAAAAAACCCCATAAATTACTTATTCTGCTGTTGCTGTATGCATACAGTGTCCCCAGTGATGTTCTAACAGCACATAGTGAAATCTTTATGATTTGCAGGAGCGTGGGAGGGCAGGGCTTTACCCAAGGCTCTCACTAAACTCACCTACCGCCTCATTTGGATCTTCTCTGTCTCTCGGGCTGGGAGCTCAGTGGCTGGGACTCAACCTTTTGATAAGATTTGTAAAATGACTGTATTAGTCAGTTTGGGCTGCTTTAACAAAATGCCACAGACCAGGAAGTAGCCATTTCTTATAGTTCCAGAGGCTGGAAGTCTAAAAAGGGGCTTGAAGATTTGGTGTCTGGTGAGGGATCTCTTCCTGGCTTGTAGATTGCCACTTTCTTGGTGTGTCCTCAAGTGACCTTTCCTTGCTGAATGGAAGGAGGGGGAGAGGAGAGGAAAAGAAAGCCAGAGGGAGAGAAAAAAAGGGAGAATGGAAGAGAGAGAGAGAGAGAGGCTCTTTCTCTTCCTCTTTTTATAGTTAGGCCACTGATCATGCCAGGTCAGGGCCTTACACTTACGATCTCATTTAACCTTAATTACCTCCTACAAGCCTTTTATCCAAATTGTCAAATTAGAGGTTAAGCTTCAACACGTGCATTTTATAGGACGACATGACGTAATGTTGTGATGACACCATCATTGGGTCTGTGATTTGTCTTCAGTTTCACAGTGATGCTCTAAAGCTGAGAGGTCTCCCACAGACTGCTGGGCCTCTTGTTTGGAGCCACACCCTGCTGGGGTTGGGTGGATGCTGGGATGGAGCAATGGCGTGGATGCCGGGCAGGGTGGGGCAGTGCTCCTTGGAAGACTGTATGTGGAGTGGCTGAACTGTGCTGGGGGTGAGTCTGTACTCTTAGGAAACCAGCCTGTGTCACAGTACCTGCCAGTAACTTTCCCTGTCTGTGCTTGTTCGAACAATATTCACACACACACACACGCACATACACATACATGCATACACACATGTATGCATGCACATACACGTGTGTGTGCATGCTACACAGTGCTACATTATCAAATCGGCAGGGCAAACCTGTCCTTCAACAAGTACTTGTTCGGCGTGTCCCACCCATGCCACAGGGCCAGATGAATTCCTGACTCCTTACATACTGAAAAGATTATGGTGCCCTACTTTTCTACAAATAAAGATAATGTTAAAGTACAAAAATTATATTTATAAAGTCATCATCAAATATCAATTTTTAAAAGAGTTATTTTATTTAACTTTATTTATTTATTTATTTTAGTTTGACTAAAGAGGGACAGAGAGAGAGAGAGAGGGAAAGTGAAAAAGCAGGCCACCAGGTCTGGGACTTAAACCGCGGTCAGCCATGTGGGAGTCCAGGCCCTCAACCACTACGCCACCTGCCAGCCCCCAAATAAAATTTTTTTTAATTTCTATTTTCCTTTGCTCTGAGTGATTGATGTATATCCTACCCCAACTGCTTGTTGAAGAACAGGTTTGCCCTGCCGATTTGATAATGTAGCACTGTGTAGCATGCACACACACATGTATGTGTGTGTACGTGTGTGTGTGTGTGTGTGTGAATATTGTTCTTTCAGAAATCACGATTGAACTCAGAGATGTTCAAAAATAGGTTGCCACCCAACCTGGGATTGTAAAGTATCACCCTGCGTGGGGCAGAGAGGGACCAGGCTGGGCTTTTTGCAGTCTGGGACTCAAAAAGATTTTGGACTATTTGTCCATGGGCATTACTGGGGGGGAGGGATTCGGGAATCATTCCAGACCACTTTAGAAATTGCTCTGTGGAAAGCCTTGAGTCCACTGACACAACTGCTTCAGAGTGCATGCAACCACTGCCCACCGGGACAGGAATTTAAGGCAGCACACAGCAAACACCTTTTCCTTACAGAATTGAGGGGATTTATGTGGTTGAAAGTAACGACCCACCTGTGACTCTGACAGGAGCACCTGGGTCGGTATCTCCCTCCTTGTTCAGAATGTCCTTTGAAATACATTCTAGGGCATAACTTCTGTCCTATTAATTATGCCACAAACTTAGTACAGCTGAATAATTAATGATCACAGGGCGTTTGGAACCATAAAATGTCATGTAAAAGGAGTGAAAATTATGCTGTGTATTAGATGGATATCTTGCTTTAAAAATATTCTACTGTGGGAAGGTTAATTTCTAGAAGAGCTAAAGCACCTTCTGTTGAGTTTTTCTAAGAAACTGGATATTTTATTGTCTTAATAACATTTTAAGCAATTCAGTTTCTGCATTCTGAGTATTTTAAAGGCAAATGGCTAGTTGGTGCTTTTAACTCTGGAAGTGAAGTTGCCTACTGGGTTTTGGTAAAACGTCTGTTGGTTCTCTCTAGCCGGAGGCAATTTGGGCCCAAAGCCAAAGAAGAGGTGAAGATCATTGAGCACCAAACACAGACCCTTCGGCTGATGCCTCACCTGGCCACGGCCTTGGCACTGACCTTCGCCAGCAGGTGAGATGGCTCTCAGGGTTTGCTCTCCCAAGGTGACTGCGATAAAGTTACATCAGTCAATTATTCAGTCAGGTTGTGTAAGTCCTCTGAGATCTTTTTTTTTTCAAAATTGTCTTGGCTTTTCTAGGTTCTTTGCTTTTTCATAAACAGTTTTGAGTCTGTTCATCAGTTTTTTTTCTTTTAACCAATAAAAGCATACTTAGCTTCATTTATGATTGCATTGAATTTATAAAGCAGTTCGCACACTGTTGGGGCTTTCAAATTCAGGAGGATGTTGTACCTCTTTGTTTTCAATTTTTCTTAACAATGTCTTATCATTTATAGCGTAGAGATCTTATACATTTTTACTAAGTTTATTCAAATTGAATTGTTTTTTAATTTAACTTCTTGTTGTTTGTTGATATTATATCGTATAATTGTTGATTTTTGTCTATGGACCTTGTATCCTATGTTCTGACTAAATACAGGCATTAGATCTAATAGTTTCTTTGTAGATTCTTTAGGATTTTCTATATGCACAATATGTCATAAATGAATAAAAAGAGTCTTACTACTTCCTTGGGAACATTTATGCCTTTTGATTTCATTTTCTTGCCCTATTGAGCTAGCTAAAACCTCCACTCTAATGCTGAGTAGCAATGGTGAAGGTAGACATCTCTATCTTATTCTTGACTTTAGGGGAAAAGTGTCCAGTATCTCATAAATAAGTATAAATGTTCACCACAATTTTTTGTTTAAATATCCTTTATTAGATTGAGGAATTTCCCTCCTACTCATAGTTAGCTGAACAATTTTTTAAACGACAAGAGTGCACGTGCATGTATAAGAGACTGAGAAAGAGAGAGAGAAACACACCATGACTTATATTCTGGGTATACATGAGCCCAGCATGCTTTCAGGCTGACCTGAGGATTTGAACCATGGTTGATTTGGCTTACAGCCTTGCAGAACACCATTACTGGTGCACCACAGAGGTTGTGCTGACTAAACATTTTTATCATGGATACTGAGCTTTGACTATATATATTTACTTTTCTTTCTATTTAGATAATTATATGATTTTTTTTCAGCAGTTTGTTAGGAAGTGAGTTACATTGATTACTTTTCAAGTGTTAAACCGAATTTGCATTATTTGAAGTTATTGCTCATACTAGATGAAATTTTAAAAATGTTACTGGGTTCAATTTGCTAATGTTTTGACAAGGATTTTACATTTTTGTTCATGAGAAATATCGATACGTAATTTTTTTTTGGAGAGGTTTTTCACTATATGGCGCATGTGCTCGCCAGACAGACAGAGAGAGACAGAGAGGCAGAAAGCGAGAAATCACCCCCCAGGAGGGATGGCCACGCCGCAATTCCTTCTCCATTCTCCTCTCGGGATCTTGGGCATGCACGCACATGCGCCCGGCGTGAGTTTTAAGCCACTGGGTCCAGGACGTGAACCGTGGTCGACTACATGGGAGTCCAGCGACATAGCCATTACACTAACTGCTTGTTCCTCCATATGTAATTTTTCTTGAAATATCCTCATAAGATTTTGGCATCAGTGTTATGCAATCCTCATAAAATGAATAAGAAATTAATCTGTTCTCTATTTTCTTTGAAGAGTTTGTTTAAAACTGCTGTTATTTCTTCCTTAAAAGCTTGATAGTATTGATTTGACGTGTATTTTGGGGGGAAGATTTTAAATTACTCTATTAAATTTCTCTAATATAAGAATCATTTGCTTGCCAATTTCTCTTGTCAGTTTTGTTCATCTGTGTTTTTGTTAATCTGTATTTTTGTTCATCTGTTTGTCCTTTTTCACTCATTAGTAAAATTTAAGTTGTTAACAATATTGTCTTATTGTAATATTAATGCCTACTGGATCTGTGGTGATGTCTCTCCTTTTAATCCTGATATAATTTTTGACTTCCCTTTTTTTTCTTAGCCAATTTTGCTCAGAGTTGATCAATTTAATTAATCATCTCTTCAAAGAACCTACTCTTGCCTTGAATGTTTTCCTTAAGATTGTGTCCATTTTATGTATTATTTATTTTAGTTCTTATGTTTACCATTTTCTCACTTCTATATTTTCGGGTTCTTTTAGTTTCTGAACATAGAAGTCTACATTATCGATCTTAAACCTTTCTTTTTAAAATAAAAATTTAATGATATATATTCTCTAAAATTGCATTAGCAGTTTTTTGATATGTCATATTGTGATAAGTTGAATATTTTTTCTATTTTATTTTTGAATGATTTGACTCATGGGCTATTAGAAGTATGTGTTTATGATTTTATCAGTTTAATTGACTTGTTGTTTATATTTTTTAAAAGTATATTTTAATTGTCAATCCAGAATTTATAAGATACATATTTAATGGATCAGAGGCTACTTTCAAATATTTACTCCTTCCCACGCAGTGTAAGAACCTTGAACAGTATATTCTCAATTCCTCCCTCCCAGCCTTCATGTTTATTTTTGTCATATAATTTACTTTTACGTGTGCTATGAACACATAATGTATTGCTAATATTTTTCTTTTACATAGTTATATTTTAAAGCAATTAAAATAAAAAATATCAAATTTTATTTTATCTCTAATTATTCCATTTCCAACACAGTTAATTTTTTTTGTATGGATCCAAGTTTTTAACTGATATCATATTTATTCAGCCTGAAAAACTTTTAACATCTCTTGTAGAATAGATCTTCTGGCAATGAATCCCTACATTTTTATTAATTTGTTTTGGAAGACATTTCCAGTTGATACAGAATTTTGGCTTAATAATGTTTTTTTTTTTCCCCTCGAGCACTTTAAAGATGTTGCTCCATTGCCTTTTTGATTCTTTGGTTCTCAAGTGAAAACAGGCATCGTTCTCCCCCCATAGGAGAATTTCTCCTCTCCTATCCTAGCTGTTTTTAAGATCTTTTTTCTTTGGTTTTCAAAGTTTTGATTATGCTGGCCTAGGTGCGATTTTTGTTTGTTTATGCTGTTTGGAATTTGTTGGGCCTCTGGGATCTGTGGGTTGAAGTTTTTCATCACATTTGTAAATATTTTGGCCATTATTTATTAAAATTTTTTTTTTACCCCTTCTCCTTCTTTTCTTATGATCTCTAATTATACAGATGTTAAACTGGTTTGCATTGTCCCACATGTCACTGGAATTCTGTGCTTTTTCTTTCTTTTTGAATATGTTTTGATTTGGATAATGTCCATGCATCTATCTTCAAGTTCTCTGTTTTTGTTTTTTTTTCTCTTCTCTCTTTGCGATAGAGCATGTGCATGTACATGGTGTACATGTGAGGGAGGGAGGGAGGAAAAGAGAGAGAGAGAGAGAGAAGACAGAGGCAGAGAGAAGCCCCTTCCGCAAAGTCTGGTCATGCCACCGTCCTCTTCCTCTAGTCCTCTAGCCCGCAGATCCTTGGCACTCATGTGTGTGCCCAGCATGTTTCAGGTGGACTCAGTGGGGGACTAGAACCCTGGTCCCCATGTGGGATCCAGCTTTTCTTGAGCAGCACATTTCTGCTACACCACCGAGCTAGCTTATGCTCCTTTCTCGTGCAGTGTCCAGTCTACCCCAAACTGGAATTCAGCTCCTCTAAGCTTCCTACTCAGCTTTTGCTCTTTGGTATCTCTACAGGAAAATGTGATTTTTCTTCTATCTGTTTCTTTTTTTTTCTTGATGCTGTTAAGAGAGTTAAAGTCTTTGGTGTCCTGAGATACTTTTTAACTTAATCAAATGACCCATGTGAGGTTGTTAGCTTGGTATGTAGCTGCCCTCTTCCCGTATCCCTTTCAGACTTAATGTTCCAGCCCTACTTTAACTGAGCCAGATCACTTCTTGACACATAGATTGACTTTCAGGAGTTTTCAACCTGAATGCACATTAAAACCATCTGGTGTTCTTTAACACAAAACAAAACAAATTATTTGCACCTATTCCCATTTATTTTAGTTTGACTGGTCTAGGGTATTGATCAGAAATCCAGACTGTGTATATTTAAGCTTTGTAAATGCTTTTAATGTGCAACCAGAGTTCGGAACCACAGCTTCCTAGCAAGACCTGAACATTTCACAAGCAGAACAGAGCAGAGTATGAAATTATCATACACATTTAAGCCACCTGGTCCGGGAAGCGAACCACGGTTGACTACGTGGGAGTCCAGCGACATAGCCATTATGCTAACTGCTGGTTCCCCAAAGTTTTGTTACATATTCCACATTTATAAATATATATACATGTTTATATATATTTACAGCAAAAGTGTTATATGGATCATCATGTCTCCTTTTACTTCAGCTCTTTTTGTTTTTTGACTTGATTTAAGAATTTTATAATTGGGACCAGCAGATAATATAATGGTTGTATCATTGGACTCCCACATAGCCAACAGCAGTTCAAGTCCCAACCCTGATAGGTTAAAATTCACACTGGGTGCATGTGTGTGTATGCCCAAATTCCTGAGAGGAGAATGAAGGAGAAGGGATTGTGGCATGGCCATCTCCCCCGGGGCGGGGTGGAGGGGAGAGGTGATTTCTCATTTTCTGTTTCTCTGTCTCTTTCTGTTTCATCAGTGAGCCCATATGCCCTATAGCAAAAAAAAAAAATAATAAATAAATAAAAATAAATCTAAAAAAGAATTTTATGTTATGTTGATGAAAATGTTCATGTTCGCCAAAGACCAATATCAAAGAAGTAGAGAGAGGTCACACTTCTAGCATTAGATTTCAAGGAGAGAAACAAGGTGGAGTGATTAAGAAAAATTAATTTAAACAAAAATTTCAGAGCCCTTATCATGTGCCCACATGGTGTTGCAGAAGGCAGGTCAGACTTCTGCCTTCACCAAGCTGGTGACCTTTCTGCCGCCTAAACCCTCAGATTTTCTTGCCTTTCACCTTTGTGCACCTCCGTCTCCAGGGTAGCCCACTGTCCCCATCGCAGCTCTACTCTCCTTCCCATTTCTTCCTTTCTCTCTCTCCCATCTCAGCAGGTGCTCAACCCACTGAAAATCCAGTCCTATGGATTCCCAGGAAGACAGTGCCTGAGTTGGGGGAAGAGGTTGTCTGCGTTTGAAAAGCTTATTTTTTATTTATACTTTCCGTGAGAGACAGAGAGCGAGAGAGCCCTCTTCACCAGGGTCTTCATGCCATGGTTCACCCCAGGCCTGGCCATCCTGGATCACAGACACGGGCATGTCTAGCGTGTTCAGAGAGATCTTGGGACAAGCACTGTGGGCCTTCCCATGCGGCCTCAGCGTCACAGAGCTTTGTATCACTGCTGTTGTATCAGAACTGGCAAGGATCTGTGTCTTAAAACAGGCCTAGGCAGGGCCAGCAGGTGGTATTGTGGCTAAGCTTTGGACTCACACGTGGCTGACCACAGTTTGAGTCCTGGCCCTGGCAGCTAGCTCTCTCACTTTCTCTCTCTCTCTGTCTCTTTCTAGTGAGCACATATGCCCTGTAGCAAATTTTTAAAAATTATAATAAGAAATAAAATTAAATCAATAATTCTTTAACAACAACAACAAAAACAAGCCCACGTAAAAGTTTGCATCTTTTGTGACATATTCTGGCTCTCTTGTTTTTTTCTAGCTTAACGCCCCTATGGCCCCTCCAACTTGTGGGGAAACAACTTAGTAAATTAGCTGTAACATGACAACATTTTAGGCAACTTCACTTACACCACACACACCTTTCGCTTTTCCTTCTTCTTTCTCCCCACTAAAATTCTCTAGCCTTGGTTATAGGCTCCACCTCCCAGTTTCCCAAGGACATGTGCTGCCAGTCAACTGGCTTCGAGTTCCAGGGCCTGGCTTACTGGAGGTGGGACGAGTTAGACATTTATTCAGTGTGTTTGGTCCTCATGCTCATCTGCAGTCCCGACCTTTATGTGCATAGGTCTAGAGTTTGATGAGCAGGAAAAGCAGGCCTCCAGCCAGGGTGACATCTCATGTGACAGATCATGAGAAGCCGGGTTTCACTTCACAGTGAAAGGCAGGTAATGGGGTGAGGTGGGCCAGCTTCTTTCAGCACACATGGGATTTTATATTCAGCAAATGTGTGATACTTTGCTCATAGGATTGCCGGTTAAGATACAGATGTCCTGTTCAATTTGAATGGCAGAAAACTGATGCAGAAAGTTTCAGTCTATGTAAGTGCACTTAAACTAAAAATTATGTAATATTTACCTGCCATTCAAATTTAGCCTGGCGTCCTCTGCTTCTGTTTGTTGAATCTGGCAGCCCTACTTGCCAACATGACCCTGGACACTCGCTGTTGTTGGCCACCATGATGCCTGTCTGGGCTTTGCCAAGCCAGCCAGCAGACCTGGTTCAAAGGAAGGCCTTTTCCCCTCTGTCCTCTTGTGTCTCCCCAGGGCAGGAGACAGGGAGGACTTGCTGGTCCTAAGAGAGCCCACCCTCTCCATTGGACCCCCATTCACACTCTCTTTTCTTCAACCAAGAGAACAGACTTGGCAAGGGCAGGGCCTGCTCCATGGGAGCCCTAAGGACAGGGGCCCAGGACACCCCCTTGCCCACCTTCCCAGTGCTGCTGCAGCCCCTCCTTCCTTCTCTGCCCCGCCTGTGCATCCAAGCCTCTCCAGGTCTTGAGGAGTCTGCAGCCAGCAGAGCGGTCAGCCCTGCCTGGGTGGCACCTGAGCGCTAGGATTCCTGTTCTGCTGTCTTGGCCACGACGGCCGGTGCTGGGTCAGCTTCTTAACCTCCTTCTGTGGGGCCTGTGGCACCCAAGGACCGCTCCCGGCCCCCCAGGCCCCCCCCCCGCCACTGAGTGGCAGCCTTGCTTGCCAGTAATTCCCAGACACGCTGGCTACACCACCACCAGTGCCCTCTCGGTTCCTGCCTGTGTGACTGGTCACCTCTTCCCTGAACTTGTTTCCTGAAACACCCCTTAAAGAGAGAGTGCTTGTTGCCCATCCCTGGTCCTCTTCTCAGCCGCCATGTCCACATCTCGGGCCAGTCCTGCCTGAGACACAGCCGTACTTGGGCAGCCCGCAGGCCTTGCAAACAGCACCACTTGCTAATTGTGTGGCTTTGAGGAAAGCTGTTGACATTCAGCACCTCAGTTTCCCTGTCTGTAAATGACAATAGTAATCATACCTGATTTAGAGGGCTGTTGGAAGGATTAAAGACTAAATATTTGACATGCCAAGGTTGTGTCTGAGGTGTACTAAAAGCTCAATAAATGTTAGCTGGCCTCATTACCACTACCGCTGGACGCCTCAGACTTCCTGTTCCCTCCCATCCCATCAATTGTCATTCAGGGAGAACCTGTGTCCTTGCCTTGCCTAGCATCTAGAGGCTGCCTCATTTCTTGGCTCATGGCCCCTCCCATCTAACGCTGGCTGGGTCTTTCTCAGGTGCCATCATGCTATCTGCTCTGTAAGAGGCAATCTTCCTTTCCCTGTCCCCTTCCTCACTTGTCAGGACCTTTGGGGTGCCCTCTGGCTCAACTTCATACTCCAGGATGGTCTCCCCATTTCAAGATCTCGGATTTAATCACATCTGTGAAGTCCTTTTTGCCATGCGAAATAACATTTTCACGGGGACCAGAGATTGAGACGTGCACGTCTTTGGGGGCTGTTATGCTACCTGTCAAACAGCTCATTTCAGAATCTTTAGTGCCAGTGAAATAAAAAGATGATGCATGGGCCAGCAAGTGGCATGGAGGTTAAGGCGGCTGGATCCCACATGGCCAGTTTGACAATTCAAGTCCCAGACCCAGTGGCTTAAAAATCACTCTGGGCGCATGAGCATGCATGCTCAAAATCCCAGGAGGAGAGTGGATGAGAAGGGATTGTGGTGTGGCTAGCTGCCTTGGGGGTTATTTCTCACTTTCCCTATCTCTGTCTCTCTGTCCATCTCCAGCAAACACACATGTTCTATAGCGAAAAAACAAAACAAAACCAAAAAAACAACAACACAACAACAACAACAAAAAACCCGCTAAAACAAAAACCCTGACATATACAAGTGTGTAGAGGGTAGAAGAAAAATACTTTGGAATAGGGTCTTGTGTGTGTAGACAGAAGAGGGACAGTTAAGCACAGTGCCCACGTAGTGTTGGAACACGGGGCCAGACCCATGCCGAGCGAGCACTGAGGCCTGCGAGGGTGCCAGTAACCACCATGCTGCCAAGTTTAATACTGATCCCTCTCCAAAAAGCTAACTTGGCAGACAGCAAAGGAGAGACTTCCAAGGAAAGGATGGCATGGTGGGACGCACAGTCGCCCATATGGTCATGACACCAGGCGGTGGTTTTGAAAGGCACACATAGTCTTTGGGAGTGACTGAGGAAGAGCATAGTCTCGTGGCCTGCCTAGGACCAGGTGTCTCCCGCCTCTGTCATTCCTTGGCTTGCTCTTTCACACAAATGCCAGGTGCACAGCTGTGTTCATTGCACGCCTCTGCTTTGTCTCGCAGGTATGCCGGGGCCCTCCTGGATGAGGACATCTTCCAGGGAAAGGGGCTCATGAGCAGCCGCTCGCTGCAGGCTCTGGTGGCAGGACTGAAGGCCTACAGCACCTGGGAGAACATCAGCTGTCTGCAGGACTGCCGCGAGTGCACCGGGGGCATGGTGAGCCCCAAGCCTGGCAGGACCAGGGGGTCCCCACGAGGCCCAGATCTGCAGGGGTTCCAATGGCACAGCACATGTGGGGGGCACTGGGTGGCAGGCAGAACATGCTTTGGAGTCAGACGGAGATCCAGACCGCCCCAGGCTCTGGTACACACTTGGCCTTATAGTCTTAGTGTGTCCCTGCATTCGAGCCTGCAAGGACTGATGTAGACCAGCATCGTCAAATGCTTGGCTGGGGGACTAGCAGTTAGCATAATGGCTGTGTCGCTGGACTCACATGTAGTCGACTGTGGTTCGAGTCCCGGACCCAGTGTCTAAAACTCACGCCAGGCATGTGTGCATGCATGCCCAAGATCCTGAGAGGAGAGTGGAGGAGAAAGGATTGCAGCATGGCCATCCACCCTGGGAGTGATTTCTTGCTTTCTGTCTCTCTGTCTCTGTCTGTCTGGTGAGCGCATGTGCCCTATAGCAAAAACCTCTCAAAAA